GGTTTTGATTGGAAAACGATAACACACTCACCAAAAACGATAACGACAACATATACATCGAAAACTGGAAAACGATAACACACTCACCAATTTTCCACTGACCAGTTGCCGAGACCTTGAATAAAAACCATGCAGGCAGAGCAATAGCTGTAACTGCTCCCTCTGCGTCAGGAGCCTGAGTCTACAGGAGCTGCGCGGGCTCATCGGTGGCGGCGTGCCGCAGCGGCAGCAGAGCTTTTCTTTGTAGCTACCGTGCAAATCTTATCCCCAACCCTTTGGAAGGATGCGTGGTAGTGTCAGTGCTCACTTTTTTTCAAAGTGATATTTACGGGAGTATGGGTCATTCAGCTGTCCTGCCATTGTAGCTGGGAAATGTGTCTAAACTCAATAGGTCTCCGTGCCAGGGATGACTTTTGCTGTAGTTTCAGCGGTAATTAACGTGGAAAGGTGCCAAAGAGTTAGTCAAGGAGGGATATAGCATACTATCCCCCACCTAAACACGGCATACTGAACTCAGCGCGGTTCTCGCTACAGCAGCGACTCATCCCTGGATCTTACTTTTTGACTAGATTGAGTAGATTCGAGTGCTTGCGCATGGGCCTAGCATAGACTTTGGAGTAAAGCTTGTGGGCATCCGCTTGGTTTTTACAACTGCTGTGCTGAGATTCCTGGTCCTGCATTCTCGCAGGAGCTAGCAGCTAGTGTGAGGCTTTGTGCTTGCGACTGCTACACGTACCTGGGTCATAAGCACAGCCCAAGCATAGAGGCCTCGGTCCATGTTGAACCTTCAGAGGTCTTTCAGCTGCAGCATGCAGAAGATGTGGAGCAGCTCTTTGGTCGCAGTGGCTGTGGTCGAAACACTTGATTAATTCTTGGTGAGGCCTTGCTGCAAGTTCACTTCATGTGTGGGGAGCCTCCAAGTAGACACAAAGGAATGTCAGCCTTGACGCCCCGCCTAGTCCAGCTTGAGGTTGCTGGCCTGGATGGACACCAACCAGGCGGGCTGCCAAACTTTGCACGTTTGCCGTCATCCTTCAATTGGAATGTAAGCTAGCGAAGCTGACTGCGAGCAGGACTTATGCTGCTCAGACGCTTTTCCTCAATGGTTGGCCAAATCTCCAGCCTCCTAGCTCCTGCAGGATGGCACGGTCTCCTTCACCGAGTTCCTCAATGCATCTGGGCTTGTCTTGGGTGTGACACGGGTGCTTCGCCACGCGACGCGCACCATAATTACAACACATGAATGTTGTTGACCCTCAGAAGTGCCATGCCTTGTGCGCTCTTCAGCGTCTGCCAAAGCTAGCGTTTTATTACGCTTGAGGGCCAACATTGTGATGGCTCTCCATTTACCTTCCGGCGTCCTACTCTGCACTTTGACTAAAATTGAGGACCAACAGAAATCCGTGGCTAGGGTTTGCCTTTCCATGCTCGAGATTGGGCCGGCCCTTCATTGATGAGCGCAGCTAAGGTGGCGCTGGAATACGGCCAGATAAACACAAGAGCTGAAGGTGGGCAGACAGAGTACAGCTTGGAGGGAGCCATTCTTGTTCGTACTTTGCGGGCTTTCTGCAAGCATGCAGCATGAGGATTAATGCGCAATCAACTGTAGCGCTGAAAGGCTACGCGTCGGCAGCCTCAGTGCACTGGTCACAGACCCCATCCCGCCATACCTTCCTTGGGCATACTTTTTCTTAGTCAGCTGTCTCATCACCAGAGCAACTAGCAAATTCTTTGCATGCACCCCTGCAGGTGAGAACACCTCGCCAAGCTTTTGGGCAGGGCTTGGGTTGCAAGGTACCTGGGCAGAAGACAAGGTTCCCACCAGCAGGTGTTGACATTCTGAAACGTCCGTGTCGCTGATGGCCCTTGCAAATGGACCATTACTGTCAATGCAACGCGTGGCTTTGTTTGTCAAAGAGCCTCAGCATTTCTGAGCGCGAGCACATGCCACATGCCTGCGCAAAGACGTAGCGCAGGGCCTTGTGGGCTCTCACATCCAGACGCAGGCTGTTGGCATTTGTTTTTAGTTAGCTGTAGCTGGTCGGAGTCATTCAACACCCGTCCTCAACAGCAAGCTTTTCCTGAGGTTGGGGTGTATCCTCAACCGAAAGTGCAGCTCCAGTTCAGTCTATGGCAGCGCAGCGCAATAGAGGCCATACGCTGAGTTTCTTGCGACTTGTACGTAGGGAGGCCTCCCAAGCAGTGAGAGGTAACGTTTGCTTGCTACAGCGCGTTGCATCTTGCGAGAAGCCAAAGTACTTCGGGCAGGCACGTATCAGACACATAGCCTGTCGCCTAGCTTTTCTGTGCCTCATAACCTCAATATTTCCATGCCGCAGACGCCCGAAAACTTCCAAAGCTCTTAGTCTCACCGCAAGGCAGCCCCACAACACAAGTTCTATGCCACGCCCAATTTTGGAGTGCACCAGCCTGGTGAGGAAGCTCAATGGCAGGCATTGCCCAGACAGCTCGAGGCCTTCGCCTGCGCTGATTCCAACACATGTAGGCTACAACATTGAGGTTGGGAAGTGACCATCCAGTCCGGAGAAATGAACTCTAGCAGTTGTCATGATGCGTGACAGCCTTTTCTGAACAGGTTCCATGGCAGACCCTGAGGGCCAAATCAGCACGCAGGCGCCTGATGCCTCTCCCAAGGCGGGAGCACTGCTGGGCTTGGAGGGGAGGAGGGGGCATGCATGCAGTGGCTCTCAAGCGTAGCTGGGGGCTGATTAATATGTTGTTGAGTCTTTGTGCGCAGATATGTCAGCTTGGGCATTAATGGTTTTGGCTTGGACGGGCAGATCCCAAAGTTCTGCTGCTGCATCACGTGCGCGCGAAGCAGCAGGGCAGTGCATACAACTCCCATGAAATTTGTTGCAAGCAAGATGAGAATGGAGGAGAGGGATATCTTGCCACTTGTTGGACGGAGTGGTGGGCACATGGGGTTAAGCTCTGTCCCAGCGGCCTTAGAGGTTTGGCGATTACGAGTGGGCATCTTCAGTGCATCCAGTCACTCAACTGCATGAGCCAGCAGGCAGTGCGCCTTCAAAGTGACCTGATGGTCGTGCATAGGGTGAGATGGGTCATTCAAGATGGTGTTGCCACGCCAAACCTGTCATCTGTAAAGAGATTCAGCGTTTTGTGCTTCTGGTTGGTTGAGCTGCGGTGGTGGCTGCTAATGGCCCAGGTTTTTGGACAAAGCGGCTAAGCCCTAAGAGAGGGTTCAAAAGAGGAAATGAGGCTCAAGGTGTGCAATCGCTTCTTCGCTGCTTCTCTACTACGGTCCTTTGAGTTTGATGATGAAATAAGGCGACATGAATTTCATGATGGCGGGTGTCCTCACCAAATGCCAGAAGCCATGGGACAGAAATGGTCTAAAAGATCTTGCGCAATTCCACAGTTTAACCTCGCGAACCCCGTCTAGGCTTGACACATGTTAGGAGGAGTACAATCTGAGCTTGCACAGCACTGTTAGGCTCAGGCTGCCAAATTACACTTTTAGGTTGGACCTCGCAGATTTCATTAAGTAAGGCTGAAACAATCCCGGCGTAGACCAAGCACTTCATTCCAGGCATGTCTCCAGCAAGCTTTTGTCACGATGGCGGCTTGCCATGGCCCAGTTGCACTCCCACAATTCAATTGTTGCTAAGGCACAGGCACCCCCGAGATGCCGACCTTCGAGTCTGCCTACTGCATTTGCTCTTTGCACCTGGGCTCGTATGGATGGCAGCACAGAGAGCTGAAGAATATGAAGTTGGGATGAAGAAGAGCCCGAAGGACTCTCAAATCCATTTTTGGAGCCGTCGTGACCAGGTGTGGGGAAGATGCTGGGTCTAATGCCATCGAACTTTTCCGAACTGGCTCAGCTGCTTGGCAGAAGCTTGTGGTGCATTAGGCTCCCTGACAACAATTCCTCCCAAACATCTAGGACCTAGAATGTTCTCAAGGCTTTCCAGCGTTTTTTCAAGTGCTATGCAGCTGGTGTAGCTGCACAACTGGGTCATATGCTTTGCTCCCAGAACGCGCCAGCAGCTGCAAGTGAAGAGCATGGCGAGGTCAGATTTCACAAGCAAGCCACCTGGAACATCGAGGAGGCACTTGGGTTTGGGGGGGGGGGAGCAGCGGGAGCTCGTGCGGCATTGAATTGCTCCGTAGGTATAGGGGAGCTGGCCAGCCCAATTACTTAGTACAGTAGCCACCTGCCTTACAGATCGGAGCAGGGTAGAATGAGCCGGCCAAGCTTGGCGCTGAACACCTGAGCCTAGCAGCAAGTCTTGCAAAACCGATGAAAAGAGTTTTAGTAGAGTTAAATGGGTTCGGACAGCCGCGAAGTCCTCCTTGCCACAGTCGAGTTGGGAGGAGCTCCTGGACTACCAGCCCCCAGACGGCCTCGAATTCGCGATTGTCTGTCAAGGCGGTCAGTTCTACCTTTCTTGATGCATCAGTATTGCACTTGTTCACCTTGTTCGCTGGTTGGGTCTTTCCGTTCCCGTTGCTCGAGCATGCCAGACCCAAGCAGGCAAGGATGCTTGGACCCCTCAGGTCTCACATCCCTGGGACTGAAGTCACAGACCTTCAAGAAAAGCATGCTGATGAAAGTCTCGAGCATCGTTGCGAAAGGTGGCGACCATCCTGCTACTCAAGTAGCATGAGAGGAAATGTGACAAACTAGCCAAATGCCGAAGCGATACAGAAACCCTTCCTTGTCCCCCATCTTCCAGGCTGCATCCACCCATCACACCTCGTCACCGAACAAACTGTGGGTAAGAAAGGGGAGGACGAAAGCCTGGCAGGTCAGTCGGAGGAGAGGCTGTTTGGCAAAGTGCCCTAGATGCATTTTAGCACGTCCAAGCCCGGATGCAAGCCAGATGAAACCTTAGCAGCAATCAGTAAAGGCTGCTACAAACAACACAGTTGCTTGAAGTCTGCAATCTTCAAGTGCCACTTTCCGGGGAAAATTACCCGACAACTGAATTCGGTTGGCAGGGATGTCAGCAATACAACGTTTTTGAGGGACACTACGGATCCACAGCAGTGTATAACTCGGTCTTGCTGAGCGCAGTCTGAAGCAGGGCCCCTGTGACAGCGTTTGGCAGGCGCGGTTGGGACACCGGCAATTCTTTCCGCAGCTGGCCCATGTTCGGGATCAGGTTGTTGATTGCAATCGGGCTTCGCAAGAAGGGTTTAGAACCGCAATTAGTGCGTGATGGTTTGTAGCGCTATCTTTCTTGTCTGCTACGAAGTCTCAGTCCACAAAAGCGAGCAGTCTTCCATTGACCTTGGCCTAGGTTAGGCTGCAATACGCGGCTGACCCTGTCACGTAGTGGCGGCGGAATTCAAGGCCTCGTCCGGGTTTGGCAGCACCTCAAGTTCCAAGTTGAACGATTCGATACTGCCCGGCCTGGCAGACGGTTGTCTGCCGTCCACCACAATCTTATACAAAGCCTAGTGCAGAAGCGCAGCGCCAGGCATCAAGGATTTGAGCTGGGGATAGGCAATCTGGAGATAGCCAGAAAGCCCATCTAAACTACAGCTTGACAGCTCGCAGCGCCCTTGCGTTTCCACACGAAGTGGTTGTGTTCAGCGGAGGTTCCGTGTGCTGCGCATTCGCTTTTTGACATGGATTCATTTTGCGTGTTCAGCCTGAATCGAGTCATGCGATAAGAGCGTTGGAAATCCAGGCTCAACGACTCAGCTTCTTGCGCATGAATGGCAAGTGCGCATGGCATTTGGAGGTACGCTATGGTTGAAAATTCTGGTCATGGAGGATGATGGGAGCCTCGTATCGGACACTTGGCATAAGCGGGCACGGGCCTACCTCACTCTGTATAGATGCCACGGGCGGCTTCCAGAAATGAGCTTCAATCCTGTACTCAGCTCTAGCTCCTGGATATTTGGGAAGGCGTATTGTAACTCTTTGTGGTCAATCTTGGTGGCGCACGTTTTAGCCAGATGAGGGTTGTCCGAAAACCCATGCTTAAAATTCCTAAGCACAAATGAAGCGTGCAAAAGCATCGCGAAAGGGTTCGCCAAAAGCAAGTGGCTACTCCGAACAACATCTCTTGTAGCATGACATACTCTTAGCATGCCGATTTTCCCCGCAGACAGCCTTTTCTGACAGGATTGTTTTGGCTCATGTCAAACATTTCTAGTCAGTCCAATGCAGAATGGATCCATGACGCCTTCGTGGCATGACAGGAAATTATGGAAGGTGGTGAAATCCCTGGAAAAAGCATGAACTGTGATGAAACGTGATGAAGTGCCTGCCCGCAGACTCCCACCATGTTGATTGTAATTACAATCCATATTCCATGTTCCGGGAAGTAGTATTCTTTCATACCCTCACGGCCAAACCACTACCAGCATTATTGCTCCTATATATCATCTTAAGTGACTAAGTAGGCCGGTATCGTTTCTGGCAGATCTCAATAAGACCGTGCGTTCGCAAGCGCGCCTATTGGACAGCCCGTATAGATATGAAGGAACAACAGGCAAGATGTCCGCAGCTTCAACAGCCACACCGCAGCAGCAGTAGCAGCAGCAGCAGCAGCAGCAGCAGTGGGGGTGATGCTGGCTGTGGGAGGACTGCACGGTTAAATCAGGTTCTCAGCAGCTAGGCCGATTACCGCCCTGTTTTGCCCAAGAAATTTTCACCATCCGCCATACCTGCCTGCTAACGCTTGGCTCAAGCCATTGGTCCGCATCCGAACTGCTGCGACGAAGAGCAGCGGTTGCTATGACGTTCTCGTAGCACGGCTGCGTTTTCCTCAGGGCTTGGGCTTCCTTGCAAGTTGGCCATTGCATAGACACAACGAAGGGAGCAGCAAACCTGCATTTGTACACAAAAATCTCGCAACCTGGGGAGACAACACAGCTCGTATTCAAAGGAGTGAAGCCCAGAGCGCTTGCAACCGTCTTTAACAGACTTGGTCAAATTCTACTTGAAGAGCGGAGACCACAGGTACCAGCACAGCAGAAACACTGATCCAAGTCATCAGGCACGCGCTTGGACCGATTGTGGAGCGCGCTGCCACGGAGGCAGCCCAAGCGGCAAGCTATGCAAGCTCCATGATGGCCACATGGCAACATTTGAAGATTGAAGGTGCGGGGAGCTTGCGTGAGCAGGGCGGTTCTTGCTGTAAGTGGAAATGCCATTGGACAGCATCCGCAGGCAACAGGCTGCAGTGTTGAGGCAGGTTGAATTGGCTGCTCTTTGTGCAAGCTGAATCCAATTTGAGAATCGCATTGGCCTCTCCTAGCACAAATTGTGGGTTGCCTCGCTTCAGATCCAAAAAAAGCCCAGAGAGCAAGGTCCTCTGCCTCGGGCAGTCTCTGCTGCCTGGTGGTGTTGTGCCCCCGACGCTACAGAAGCGGATCGAGCATGCAGCAGAGCCTGGGTAACCAGAAAAACTTTGGTGTCAAGACCTGCGGAGGAGTCCTTGACTTCAGCTGGCCCTGAAGCAAGTAGATAGGTGGGCTGAGATCCTCCAATGCCATGAGTCTGCCTCGGTGGGAGAATGTAGAAGACTTGCCCGAAGTTTACTGCTCAGCCGGGATCGGCTCACTCCCTTGCAACTGAAAATGTATGCAGCTAGGCATCAATCCCAAAGCTCCACAGGTTTAAATTGGCTGTTCAGTGCTACCGCGCGTAGCCATGTAGTCCAAATCCGCCATTTCGACATGTGTCTAAAATGATGAGTGCAGGGGTGGGCTCGGCCCGACATGGCAATCCCTAATCGCTATTGAGCCCTAGCACGGTGAAGTGACTGCAACAAGCGACCTCAGTTGCGATCCTCTCACACTTCCACTTCTTCACCTGCAAAGTGAATCTTCCTAGGACTTGCATCGACGCTTCAACTGCCGGGTCTACGTCTCGGGTGCCGATGTTGCAAAGTCCGGCGTTTCGGAGGGAGAGGCCGACTTCACGACAATTGTGGAGCATCGGATCATAACTCCCAGGTGTTCAGCAAAACATGGATGAGTGAAGTATTGGGAGAATTTACTGCTTAAGCACAAGGCAGATGACGGAAGGTAATCCACGAGGAAACCGCTTGCGACAGGCATGCGACAGAACCCTGAGTTTCTTTGAAGTCCTGGGGCAAGTTTCGAGCAAACAGTGAAGCCTTGCCAAACTAAATCGGTTCTCCACATCATCTCGCAGAGTTCCTGCCATCCCTATAAGCCCTATGAGCACTGAACTCATCATGCTAAGCACAAGCCCCTAATCGCCTAGAAAAAGCTGAAAACAGGTTATGCAGGACTTGCTGATCGGTGCAGGCCTGAGTCCAGATGTGTTGGACGTGGACGTGCCTGGCACTGCAGTGGTGGTTGGGTGGGGCCTTCGGGGATCAAGGATTTAGCTTTTCAAAGCAGGGTGAAGATGAGGAATTTAGAAAATGGATGCTGACTGTTGTGCTAATCTTTCTCATCTACATGCGAGGACTTTGACTTGCTGGCCTGGCTACATTACAGAACGGCTAGCCTCCGTGTGTTGAGGTTCAGGCTATCAACACCATCGAGAACGCCATCTACGCGGTACCACTTTTGCGTGACCGTGGCATTAATACAGCGACTTGCTGCAACAGCTGGGGCAAGCAGAGGGCAGCTTGTTGTCTGTAATTCTCACTGCATGCACATCAGGCTCGCAGCTTCAGCTTCGCTGACGAAATCCTTTTCTTGTGCATCTGCAAAGGCAATTTTGGTCACCAGTGACTTCCACAGCGCGAGAGCGGCCTATCTTTTCCGGCGCGTACCTGGGTAATTCAATGTTTATGTCAGCCTTTGAGTTGCCATTCCAGAGGTGGGAGGACAGGAAGCCACTTGCCGATGCATGGGGACCCCTATGCTTTGGCACCAGCATGAGGGATGAAGCCTGTCTGCGTGTCTTCTTGGTAGCTGTTGCAACTTGCTTGGCTTCAATCCCTGTGCGTCAACACACAACTCAATTGGAGTCACCGAGGTATTCAAAGCGCACGGCCTCAGCGTCGTTCTGCGTGCAGACCCCGCACCCAGCGGGCTGGAATTCGGACCACCCAGGCTCCCCTTCCGCAAGAGGTATATTAATTTCCGCCCTCTCAAAGTTGAGTTGTGCAGTGCAGATGGTATTGGGTCAGGACTATGTGGAGACATTGGGTGCCTGACGGAATACTGCAACTCCAGGTATAGTAGACATGGGTGCTGATAGCAAAGATGATCCAGTGTCCAGCTTCAGTCGCGGGAAGTTGTGCGGGCTTTGTTTTGGTGTCAAATCAACACATGATTTTTGAAGCCAGGCCCAAGGAAGAGTGGCCGAAAGAGATCAATGATCTGCGGCTATCTGAGCGACTGAAGTTCGAAGAGTGGCTTGCCAGTGGAGCATGCAGTCTTTGCAAGCTGCCCTGTTTCGTTGGTCAAGGGTTTGCCATGAAGGGATTGCTTTCTTGCAAATAGGCTGCATCGAATTCATGGTGCTTCTGCTACAGAGTCAGCCTTTCCAAGGTATCTTCTGCTCGGAAAGATGACGCCACTTGAGCAATATGGCGCCTTGCCGCGAGATGTGGGCAACATATTTCTGTATGCTAGCATCATCTGACGGCCACATGGTGAAAGGTCCAGTTGGAAGGTTGCTTGCTACAGCCACCTGAACAAAGCATTGTTTGCAATGATGACGCTGCACAAGAGACGTTGCATGCTACAGAGCATGGCCAAGGCATCAATGCGGACAAGAAGGACCTGGAGCATGCTTTAGCTTCACTGAGGGCTACTGCCTTGTCATTCGAGAGCAAATACTGATTCCGTAGCACGAGTCTATGACAAAAGGCATATGAGCTGCATAAAGCGGGCGAAACCTTGTAAGAGCTCTGCTTGCAGCGCCTCAGCCTGAAGGTAAGGTTGCATGATACATTGCATGGACCATTCGCTTTTGTTTTGTTGCAGTGTACAGCCCTGCACGTTTTCCATCGTCCTTGTTCTTGTGGCAGCCCCGAGGGTAGCTATAGAGCAACAGCTGCCATGACTTTGGGGCCACATGCCACTGGAACAGGTTGCACGTGCAAAAAGACTTGCAAGATTTGCGTATTGTGGTAAGGGCAGAGCGGAGTAGTAAGTGGCTTCCAACCCAACCATGAAGGATGTTCTTGTTTTTAATGCATGTTCTGCTACTCGCAAAACATGATAAGGTATGTTAACATTAACTAAAACAAGATGAGGAGAGTCAGTTGCTGCCGTTCAAAGAAGTTCTGGCGTGCAGAACGGCCAAGGAAGCACCACTTCAAGACCCAGCCCCGGCTATGCCGAAGCAGCCAGGTCACGCGGTTGGGTTTTTCGGGGGCTGATTGACATCCTGATGACTGTACGGGTGGCATGCCGGAAAAGCAAGTCAAAGGTGTGAACCTCTATGCCCTGAGGAGCACAAATCAACGTCTTGCCAGACTAGTCAGTTCGCAGAAAAAAATCGCATCCCAGGGAGGTGGATTTTGGGGTTCCTTCCATCTTCCGAAGTACGGTTTCTGGAGTCCATTTCGGATTTCAAGGCCGCGGCTACTTGGCTACTTGTTTCAGGGCCGATTTCAACAAGCGATTCACCTGCCGGCTTCATGGAAGTGACCTGTCTGGGAAGGCGGATACAGTGGCCTTGGCTACGGAGCTGGACCAGGCTTGAGAAACAGCATCAAACATTCACACAAGGTTGCCGGATACTGCAAGTAGATCAGGAATTCTGTTCGGTGCCTGCCTTGCTGTCCGCTTTCTGAAGCAGGCAATTTGAATTGCCAGTCGAGGGAGCGTTGTCTCACTACACGATGGCCCTAGCTGGAGTTGCATCACGCCTTTCGCGTTTGAACACGTGCTTGTAGTGTGCGAGCAGATGCGAGCAGCATCACTGCGCATTCCTTTGGGTGAGGCCGTGGGAGCAAACATGTCGTGGATGAGGCAAACACAGGCCACACCGCTGAGATTCCTTGATCCTTGCCCAGGAAGTCATGTTGGACAGGGTGGGTGCTACTAGGCAGCCGCTTTACGTGGACTGGGACAAAGAGGGGTGCATGTGACAGATGCTAACTGAGCAAAAGCCGACTCTCCACCGCTGCTCTCTGCCACCACTGTTGCTGCTGCTGCTGCTGCCGCTGCTGCCAATGACAGTTGATGAACTCCTGAGCGGGAGGATTTATTTGAATGGACCACCAGGATAGGAAGATATGTTTTCGCAAGGAAGTCGCATTGCAGCGCGAAAGGAATGTTTCTCGCGAAAAGTTTTACGGAACCCAACTTGCGTACCAGGAATATGCTTTCAGCTCTCTAGGGTACTGGATGGCTCTGATCAGGGCCGCATGGATGGGGGTAA